TGAAAAATACATTGTTAATTTTCAATATTTTTGACAGAAGCTGCATTGTTTTATTTGAACCATTTCCAGAGCGTTTTTTGTTCTGCTAGTCAGAGCTGAATTGTTTTCACACTGTAGTGAGTTTGATTCTATCATTTACTTTTTATATGCGTCTAATTGTATTGCTTTTTAAAACTGTGAACTGCTTTGAGTTCCAATATTAAGGGAAAGCAGGTTTTCAATAAATATGAAAGAGAAGGAGAAGACTTGAAGACACATATACACATATTATCAAAAACTCTAAGGTCTGCCTTTCCAAGACACAGTGGCCTTTTCATTTCATAACTGCAGTTTCTATTTTTATTAATGACTGAGCAAAGGTATATAAGACATCATGAAATGCTCTTGTAACACAATAGATCTTATGTGATGTCAGCTTGTGCATATACCAAATGTTTGTGTTTTGAGTTATCAAGAAAGATCAATTGTTGGCGGAAATAATTTTTGTTGTCACATCTGATGTCGATGTTGGTGATCCTCTGCACCTGCCCTACACTATCCATTTGAGCACATCTAGGCCTAGTTCTGCTGATGAGAAATAATGATATTCCTCCCTTATTGCTTCTCCATGATTAACTGAGGGAGGGCTGTGGTGCCTTTTCCTTTTAGTTTGAACACTTTGTCAATAAAATTGAAATGTACCCAGCTTGAATTGGCAAAGTACTGCAGCTACAGGCTCAGTTTGATATCTACTGACAGTAACGATGGAAGGATTATTTCCCACACTGATATGCAGCTGCTAAAAAACCAGGAGTAAACTCAATCGTCATTCTGTACTTCAATGTGCAATTAATTTCTTTCCCTCAAGCATGGAGATATCCCTCGTGGTAGACCGCAAGGGTAAAATAACAGAAAAGGCTGCCATACCCAAGGTCAAATATGGCTCATCCTGATCATTAGATTGTTCATCATGAGAGTTCCACATCAGAGCAATGTGTACTTAGCAAACTACATTTCGCTCACCTTTTATCTCAAAATCATCAGATTTCATGTGATAAGTTACTTTTTAATTTAGGAGTCAGTGGTCCTCTTGTTGCCCAAGGAGCATGTGAATGAACATAGCTTCTCTTAGCCAACAATGATAATAGTCTCCTATTGTAAGAACAACAGAAAATGACAATGCCATGTATTAAGTTGTGCTGTTATCCTGCTGTAATTGTGATTTGCCAGCTGCATGTGCTAAACTCTTCTGAGAGCAAAACCATGCACATCCAGAGCAGAGAAAGGGCATAAAACATTTAAGATGAATCCAGGGAAGTTCTCTCTTAGTCGCATAGTTTAACAGCCAGTCCCTGCAGTAAGGGTGTTATGAAGTTTGTTATACCAACTTATAAACAAACACAGGACCATTTATCATGAATAAAAACACAAACCCACAACAGTCATTGTGTGGCCAGCCATTCCCCCTTTGTTTAAAGAACCACAATGAGCATTTGACAAACATAATTGAGAGAGCTGCTATAAATTCAGGATAGATGCTCTTTTCCAAGTGCATCTTTTCCACCCCTGTCTTTAAACCAGTTATTTGCAGGTCATCCCACCAGTGTCAATGACTGCTTATGACCAAGTTTTTGAAGAGTTGGGCATGTGAAATTTGTAAGAGTTTTTTTTTGAGAGAGAGAGAGAGCTAAAACAGGTTGCCTGGAGACAAACATAGACATACAATTACTATATTTTCAGGTTCACATCACCTTTTTTCAAGCTATGACAGACTGGTCAAAGCAAATGTCTGAGAACGTTCCATAAGTGAGGGAAGAGAGGCTGTAAGAGCTGTAGGGGGAGATAATTATTATTTAGAAGCTCAAGGGATGGAGCTTAATGGAAGTTTATGATGATGGAGCTTAATGGAAGCTGTAAAATTAGAAACTGTGTCTGGCATTGGGAATGAAACAGTAACTGTCTATGGAGTTATGTCTTTAGAGTAGAACACTCATGCACGTAAGCCACTTGATTTCTGTCAGCAGAGTAATACAATCCTATCCCTTAGCTATGCCAGCATCTGGAGTATTCTTGCATCCGATTTTGTATCTTTTGGGGCTAATGTATTCTTTGCATGATTCAAATGAGCAGGGGAAAAGAAGGAGGAAAAGGGTGACTACTCTAACCGGCACTATGGCCCTGAGACAAATAACTACTTTTAAACAAAGGAAGGTAACATGTTAGAAAATTCAGTTGCATCTAATTTGGTCTTGGGTGGATAGCATACAAACAGGGATCAGTAATGCACAGAATTATCAACTGAAGGGAGGAATAAAATGCTTTAAATAATAAAACAATGTTAGAAAATCTGGAAAAATATTTTGCAAACCCATTCTTAAATACCTAGAGCACACATGAAAGATCGGTAGGATCTAGTTGTGGAACGGACGAATAGCCCTGAATGGATGCCAAATCATGTATTTATGAGTATCCTCTAGCATTTCATGGATGGAAACCAGGCCACAAATGGCCAGTCACCACTGGTGTGTGGTCAAGATGGCCAGTGTCAGAAAAGTTTGCTTTTGCCTGAGTTTATTGGAAAGGGCAAGATTCTGCCCCTTCCTCTTTCCCCTCCCCACTGGTTAATTGAGTGCAAGTTGGTTTTACATTTTGAATTTAGTTAACCTAAATTGAAGTAAACTAATAATAACAACAATAACTATGATTAGGTGGATCTGTAATTGGTTAAGCGGATGAATCCAGAGGGTGCTCACCAATGCTTCCTCTTCATCCTGGAAAGAAGTGACAAGTGGAGTGCCGCAGGGTTCCGTCCTGGGCCCGGTCCTGTTCAACATCTTTATTAATGACTTAGATGAAGGGTTAGAAGGTAGGATCATCAAGTTTGCAGACGACACCAAATTGGGAGGGATAGCCAATACTCCAGAGGACAGGAGCAGGATTCAAAACGATCTTGACAGATTAGAGAGATGGGCCAAAACTAACAAAATGAAGTTCAACAGGGACAAATGCAAGATACTCCACTTAGGCAGAAAAAACGAAATGCAAAGATACAGAATGGAGGACGCCTGGCTTGAGAGCAGTATGTGTGAAAAAGATCTTGGAGTCTCATGGACAACAAGTTAAACATGAGCCAACAATGTGATGTGGCTGCAAAAAAAGCCAATGGGATTTTGGCCTGCATCAATAGGAGCATAGTGTCTAGATCTAGGGAAGTAATGCTACCCCTCTATTCTGCTTGGTTAGACCACACCTGGAATATTGTGTCCAATTCTGGGCACCACAACTCAAGAGAGATATTGACAAGCTGGAATGTGTCCAGAGGAGGGCGACTAAAATGATCAAGGGTCTGGAGAACAAGCCCTATAAGGAGCGGCTTAAAGAGCTGGGCATGTTTAGCCTGAAGAAGAGAAGGCTGAGAGGAGATATGATAGCCATGTATAAATATGTGAGAGGAAGCCACAGGGAGGAGGGAGCAAGCTTGTTTTCTGCTTCCTTGGAGACTAGGACATGGAACAATGGCTTCAAACTACAAGAAAGGAGATTCCATCTGAACATGAGGAAGAACTTCCTGACTGTGAGAGCCGTTCAGCAGTCGAACTCTCTGCCCCGGAGTGTGGTGAAGGCTCCTTCTTTGGAAGCTTTTCAACAGAGGCTGGATGGCCATCTGTCAGGGGTGCTCTGAATGCAATATTCCTGCCTCTTGGCAGGGGGTTGGACTGGATGGCCCATTAGGTCTCTTCCAACTCTTTGATTCTATGATATTTACTTCAATAGAAAGACTTGCAAAATAAATCTGCATTTACTTTTCAAGGACCAAATACAAGATAAACCACACTACATGCAAGATATGTGGTTGTGCACAATCATGTGTTAAAGCAAACAGATGTTTTTCAGTATTTGAGGGAGCATTTCTTCTAAATGTACCATCCAGTTGAACCCTAAAATTAAATCAAATGAAATCAAGTTGAACCCTAAAATCATCTGTTTTGGCTCAAGGATTCCAGTTTCATACTCCAGCAGAGGATTATCTTTTAAGTAATAATCCTGCTTTGGAGGCAGTCTGTAAAACACAGCTGGATTTTTTAAGGGCATGGTAGGGCTTCTGGATCTTATGTTTGATACCCTTCTTAAGTCTCTCTCTCTCATATATATTTGAAGCAAGGTGGATGCTTTAAATTTCTCTTATTGTTCCAGAGGGACATTGAAGTACTTTGAGAACTTTTAATGGCAATTCCTAATCCCATCTGCCTTACACAATTGATATCAAAGTAGGGCTGGCAGAGTCTGCAGAAATGACTTCTTTAGGCTATATTTCCCAGGTTCTTCCAGTCAATGCAGCCAGTTGTAGCTCTATATTTTCCCATCTGTTGAGTAGTAGACCCTGCCAGAGTGCCAAGGCTTTAGGAAATACTCAACAAAATGGTATGAGATGAGAATTGCAGCCATAGTCACTACTAGTGGGCAAAGATTTTTTTTAATTCTTTCCCTTTATCAATTTATATATTTATCTGTATTCCTTTCCATCCTTCATTTTTATTTCATTATTCTGAGAAACAGAGTCAAGGTCACCAGAAACTAGATGAGAAACAGACCATAAGCTAATGGCTGGCCCTTCTTAATAGATAAATTGGATATATGGTTTAAATGATTGCATCAGCATGACATTTGTTGGAATCTTTTTAATCCATTAAATATAAAATAAATAGAATTTGCAATATAAATACCTTACTTTATTTTGGTTGCTACTTTAATCTTTCAACTGCAGTGCTTTTGTCAATATTAAGTTTATTCTGCAGATACAATAAAATGGGGATCTAACAGGGTAAGCCTTTGCTTTCAGAATTGCTGTGTATGTAAACCAGCAATATGCATTTCCACACCAAGGTAGGGCTTTAGAGATGGGTCTTAGTCTGGGTCTTAGAGTGACATTTTGCATATGTCACTCTAAACAGAATGTCGAAGGTTTTATTCCTTTTACAATGTCATTCTTTTTAAAGTTTGTTCTTGTCTTGTTTTCACAGAGAAAGTTGCAAACCATCACCCTGCATACAAAAGAAAGAGCACAAAGAGGCATGGGGCTGCTTGATCAAGCCAACAGCACCATCATTGTGGATGAGCGTATCTTGGATAAAAAGTTGTTATTTGGTTGGCACACAAAGAGCCTTGCCACTGCAAGTGAGGGGCTCCAAGGATCCAATGATGCGATGATGGACAGCACCAAAATCTTGGGGGTCCAGATCATACTGATAGCTGCCTACTCCTTAATCATTCTGCTGGGATTTGTTGGTAATTCCTTGGTCATCTACATGATCGTGAAATACAAAACTATGAGGACTGTAACTAACTTTTTCATAGCTAACCTAGCACTGGCAGATTTAATGGTGGACACACTTTGTTTGCCCTTCACCTTGGCCTACACTCTTTTGGATGAATGGAAGTTTGGGGCTGTGCTTTGCCACTTGGTGTCCTATGCTCAAGCTTTAAGTGTTCATGTCTCCACCCTGACCTTAACTGTTATTGCTCTGGACAGATATAGATGCATTGTTTTCCACTTAGACAGCAGGATTTCCAAGAAGATCAGCTTCACCATCATAGCTATTACTTGGCTGGTTGCTGCCATTCTAGCAAGTCCACTTGCCATCTTCCGAGAGTACAGATTTGAAGAAATCCCAACCATCAATCTCAGAATAGCTGTCTGCTCAGAGAAATGGCCTTCTGAAAGCAGGGATGCCACCATATACAGCTTGTCCATGCTCCTCTTGCAGTATGTTCTCCCACTTTCCATCATCTGCTATGCTTACATCAGGATATGGTTCAAACTCAGAAGCCACATCAGTCCCACTGCTAGGAATGACAGTCACTGCCGAAGGAGAAAGACCACAAAAATGCTAGTCATGGTAGTAGTGGTGTTTGCAGTCTCTTGGCTCCCTTTTCACGTGTTCCAGCTTGCTATTGACTTAGATCTAGTGCTCAACTTCCATGATTATAAACTCCTTTACACGGTGTTCCATGTGGTGGCCATGTGTTCCACCTTTGCTAACCCTTTGCTCTATGGCTGGATGAACAAAAACTACCGGAATGGGTTCCTCATGTTTTTCCGCTGTCAGAACAAACCAGAGAGACTGTATACTGAAGGATCCATCAGGGGTCGGTCCTACACTTTCAGAGCCACCACCTTGAATGGGAGCATCAAGCACTCAACAGGCAATGGGCAGCTACCAACACAAGTTTAACAAACCAACAGCTGCATCCCCATATAGGGGCTGGAACACCATTGAGGAGTAACATCCACCTGGAACTCATGGCTTTCCTAAAAGTTAAAAAATGTGTTGTATTGCCAAAATGCTATCAGTATCATAGCCAAACACAAGCACTTTGTCTATCTCTCCAAAGTAACTCATGTGCTGCCCATTATGTTTCATGAAGCAAGTTAATTAAACCATGCCTCAGGTTCTCTGTTGCCTGTTAACATAAACAGAGGAAAACATGTTGTATACTGGGTACTCTAATTTGTGAAACAATTAAGCCCTACTGTTCTCTGGAAGAGTGAACAAGATTACTTAACTGCTTTATGCACCCAGTACGAATGGAAATATCTGTACAAATATGGGCAAAATACAGGGTTGTATGGTACATATTAAATTGTGTATTCTTTTAATTGACCGGTTTGTCTGTTCTTTTGTATTACTCATCCCAGAGTTGTATCCTTTCATTCCTAGACCTCAGCTGAACCCTTGGTGTTATATTATGGGCATTTTCTGAGAGGTATGCAAAATAATTAGGAGGCAGAAGGTGTGTGGCACATGGGTTCAGTAGATGTTCTTCTTTAAAATAGTAAACTCTGACTAATGGCCACTATGCTTATTTAGGCATAAATGAATACTTTGATGTTGCAGTTCTGTAACTTAATGGTAGCTTTTCCTGATAATAGCTACTGATAAAGGCATTTCAAAGCAGTGCCTCAGTCAGTATGTTTGTGCTCTCCTTCCAAGTCAAGGAGCACTGCTAAAATCCTATTACTTTTTAATGTGACACATACTCAGATTTTCTGGGTAGAAATCTTGGCTTCACCTTCATTACTGGTTATTTCTCTCCCACCTCACACTGCCTTTCACAGATGGTGAATATATAGTGCCTGTCACTTTTATCTCCACTCACCAGGATACATTGATAATTTTGTCTTATAGCAGATAAAATACTAATTTCGGATAAGCACAGTCATGGCACAATTGTGAGGGAGGGAATTATAGTGAGGTGCATATGTTATTTTAAAAATATCTTATGAATCATCATTTTGAAAACATACATCCCTGACAGTTATATGAAACATGCAGGAAACCTGTACCATGTTGTCCCAAAGTCAAAATTGCAATTGAGTGTGTGAAATATGTTATTTTGTATTCATTCTTTGAAAAATGGGCCACAGTTTGGTTTTCTGTTAATGAGAGGTTTCTGTTCTTAAGAGGACAATAGAAGAGAAAAGCTACACCTTATGAAATTTAAAGTTGGTTGACTTATCACTTTTATTTTAAGCTTTAAATATTCATTGCAGGTGGATGGGACTCAAAAGGTTGTGGGAAAAGGAATACACACATCAGACCTCAACTTACTTATTGATTTATAGCTTGGAATACTAAGGGGTGATTTTGCCAGTTCTTTCCTTTGAAATATACTCTCCAGCTCTTGGTATTCACTAGTGGACTCCGATCCAAACAGTAGCCAGATCTGATTCTGTTTAGTTTGCAAAATCAGAGAGGATCTGGTGATTGTAGGCTATTTAGGCACATCCTCCATGCTATTCTACTTATGAAAGTAATCTCACCTGAAGCTGCTATTTACATGCTTCTAATGTCAGATAGATGCCAGAGAATTTTGCTGAGATTACTGGAAAAGGTGAAACCCCCATACCAACACACTGGCATCCTGACATTGCCCATTCCTCCCATCTCAAGCTCTTCTAGATACTGAGAAACAACATTATTTCTAGATAACTCCATTTTGATATGTTCCCTATGCCACCACTTGTTAAACTGTGGCTCCTGACACCAAAGGGGGTTCCCTGAGCTCAATGTTGGGGTCACATAAAAATTGGCAACAGTAAAATGTTTCTGAGCAGATCTCATTTAGACAAATCTGTTACCAACAATGTGCAGTGTTTACGGTAAACTCTGCCAAAAAATCTTCATCTGTATTCCACGAAAAGAAAAAATAGCTTGTTTAGCAGGCATTACAAATGCTCATTTATCAGTAAATGTTTGATTTTTTTAAAACCTATTTTATGTGCTTATATATATCTGGGGTCATGTAAAAATTTCTAGATTGGAAAGGGGTTGCAAATAGAAAAAGTTTAAGAAGCCCTGCTGTATATCCACCTTTAAATCAATGACAGCACTTAGAAGTAAATTAAGTCGTAACTACATTACATTATGATTGTTAGTAATGAGGCATTATTATGTTTCTTGCAACTATAACTATTTTAACTATCATAACTATAAGAAAACCTTACTGAATTATGTAGGAGGAATTTCACATGGTTCAAGTGCTGACTCATGCAATGCTGTGGTCTGTCACCTGGTGCGCTGGGTGCAGAGGGGACAATTATAAGGACAGGAAAAAGGGTGCATTTTCCACTTTCAAGAAGTGGGGAAGTTAAAAATTACTTTCTACTGGATTCCAATTGTTTTTCCAGTCCTAGGAACTAAAACAGCAATTCGGTTTTAGAAAGTAACATTCCAAGCATAAATATTTGAAGTTATAAGGGTCCATACATTTATATACAGTGTAAAAGGGGGGGTATAGGAAACATTATTTCCCATTTCTCATAATGCTAGAATCCAAATCCAGGATTGTTCAATGAAGCTCAGCTATGAAACAGGCAGATGGAAGTACTGTTTGACAATAGTTGCATTGATGAATTCTCAGTGACGGCCACCTAAATTGGGCAGCTTAAGGCTAAACAAATTCACAGAAGATAAGGCTATCAATGGCAACTACATATGATGATGATTCATAATTTCCCGTGTCAGAGAAAGCATGTATTTGAATCTTATTTCATGAGGACCGTGAGCATGTGGGTACTGTTGCCATCCTGTCCTGCTTGTGGGCTACCCATAGGCAACTAGCTGGCCAATGTGAGTCAATTTAGTATGGCTCTTTTGATGTTCCTAAGGCATTCATTGTCATTGAATTTTATAGTTTCCAAAAAGAGTAGCAGTACATTTATTTCAGTTATGAACTGACTACCACAGCACAAGATCACAGGAGAAGTCATTTAAGTGTTGCAGAATGAATGGCTTTGCCTCTCTTCCCAAATAAGAATTCAGCCTACCCAAATGAAAAGAACCCATATTGGGAGCATTGGTCACATATCCATATCCTCTGAGTCGCCCGAGGGCTGAGAAAAGCAGTATATAAATGAAGTAAATAAATAAATATCCGTATCTGTCTAAACTTTCATAAAAGTTGGGCTACAATTTCACTGAGTGGAATTAGACTAGGGCAATTTGGCCACTGAAAACAGGGGTTTGTTTGTTTGTTTGTTTATCTCTTAGCCCGGAGATGACTTGGGGTGGTTTACAGTCAGTACTAAAATCATAAAATGCAATTAAAAACATTAAGATAACATAAAAACACAGCAAAGTCAATAAAAACATGTGTCATTAAGGTCTCCAAGTTAAAAACATTATCCAATCACATCATCCAGTCATTCATTTTCCTATGTCTGTTACACTGTGTTTGCAAACGATTGCTCAAAAAGCCATGTCTTTACTTTTTTCTGGAATGCTAAAAGGTAGGGGGCCGATATGATCTCCCTAGGGAGGACGTTCCATAGCTGAGAGGCCACCATTGAGAAGGCCCTATCTCTTGTCCCCACCAGCTGCACTTGTGACGAAGGTGGGATTGAGAGCAGGGCCTCCCCAGATGATCTTAAAGTCTTGGAAGGTTCATAAGAGGAGATGAGTTCGGACAGGTAAGTTGGGCCAGAACCATTTGGGATGCCACCGTATACAGCTTGTCCATGCTCCTCTTGCAGCATGCTCTCCCATTTCTTTTTAATGCTAATGATCCACTGTTTTAAATGCCTTCCATGATAAATAAGTGCTTTACCTAAGAAAACCAAGATGTCCAACCTCATCCTATGACACAAGCTTTCTACTGGTGTCACAAAAAAGGGGGGAGCATAGAACTGAATGTACTACTTTTTTTTTAAAAAAGTTTGAGACTGTGTCAGCTAGAGAAGCATATTTTTAACTTCACCATCAAAAGAGACTTGATTGCTAGAGCAATCTTAACATCTTGTCACTTGTGTCATTTAGAGCCTGTGCTGCTCAGTCAAGTGGAAAAGAATTTCTTTCAGAGGTAGTATAGCTGCTTCTCTTTTAAAACAGCACTAGCACTAGCAGAATACTAATACTAGGACTACTAATAATAGCATCTTACCTTTGTCTACAGCATGCAATACAATGGATATTGGCAAGGCTTAATTTGTGTTCAGCCCTTAAATCTACGTATTTTCTGGCTTAGTGAGCAGCTCAGGGCCCTGTGAAGTAAGGTTATTTGAAAGTTATAGGAGGCAAAGGAAAGGAGTTTGCATAGATCTCTGGGGCCTCACAGTCTGAAAGAGTTATTAGGCTCAAATATGTTGCATACCTTTTAGTATTTGTGTTTGACATCCATTGTAAACTAAGTGAATTTTAATAATAACAATAACAATAGTAATAATAGTAATAATAACAACAACATACAAGATTTGAAATCCCATATAATGACTTTTGGTTGATCTGCCAGGGCTCAAAGCTCTCATTAGGTAAGTTCGCAAATTAACATTTTTATTTTATTTTATTTATACCCCCTTTCTCATAAAATGGGATTTTCTTTCTCTTTCTCATTAAGATAAAAGCAAACCACTGAAGCTTTTCCTGGCTTGTGTGTTCTTTCCCAATAATAATGTTTCCAATTTGGACTGCACTCTGATTTTACTTGTCCAAATGTGCACCGTTCTTCACCTGTAGGATGTTGAAGGGTATGCAACTTCATTGACAGGGACACTCTGACAACGTTGAAAGGAATTGTGGCCTTACTGTGCTGGAAACAGATAGAGAAGAGCATACTAAGAAAGGCTTACCTTAGGGCTTTCTTTTAAAACTGATCCGGAGCAGTCCAGCTCCCACTGTGCTAGCTCTGCATGCCTTACATTTGCTGCCACCCAAGATTAGTTTCCTCTATTCCTCTCCATTCTTTCTGTTTACATACATTTTGCTTCAGTCTGTTAAGAAGCAAGCATAACACAAACAAAACATAACCTCTCTCCATACACAAAAATATAGGGAAGGATACTATTGATGTGGTCTGGCAGGTGTGGTAGTGAAAAATTAACGTTTCCAACAACATAGCTGGAAATTTGAAGTGGGAAATCAAAGAAATTAAAATGGAGATGATTATCAAAAAAAAGTAGGTATACTTCAACACTTGTATGATTTGTACATCATGTACATGGTGGAGTGATTGGTCCAGTTCAATTTTTCACTACCATACCTGCCAGACCACACCAATACATCAAAACCGGCAGTGATGTGGTATCACTTCTGGCATCATTTTCAAACATTTTGGATTGGAAATGGGGCATCAAAAGCACTCTGTTTTTGGGTAGCTTTGAATCCTT